TTGCAATCGGTAAACTATAGGTAGTCCTCAACTTACAACCATTTGTTTAGCTACCATTCAAAGTTACAACGGCACTGAAAAAAGTGATTTATGATTGTTCTGCACACTTACAACCATGATGGCACACTTACAACCAAGTGGCCATGGAGATGGCAGCATCTCTGTGGCCACATGACCAAAGTTTGGGTGCTTCACAATTGGTTGATATTTATAATGGCTGCAGAGTATCCTGGGGCCATGTGATCACTTTTGCGACCTTCTGACAAGCAAAGTCAATGGGGAAGCCAGATTCACTTAACAAACGGGTTGCTAACAACTATAGTGATTCTCTTAATTGTGGCAAGAAAAGTCGTAAAATGGGGCAAAACTCACTTAACTCTCTTGGTTAGCAACATAAATTTTGCACTCAATTTTGGTCATAAGTTGTGGACTACCTATACTATATTTGTGTTCTCCAGATACTGAGTTGCAACTCCAATTTGTCTGTCCGTCCATCCAATGTAGAGGCCACTTGATTTCACAGAACGTATATTACAAAATAGTAATAAAAATATATTGCTAAGTGCAATATTACAATTTTATGATCTTATTTTGGCTTTCCAGGCCTGCAAAGGTTATAAATGTTAGGATTGGTTGCAAAGTTATTTTTTCACACCATTATAATTGCAAACAGTCACTAAACAAGGCAGGCAGTAAATAACAATTCTTTTTTTACATAATCTTTACTGTTTTACTTTTATAAAGATATTCATACAAACATTACGCCTGCTTTCAAAGGGATTTTTTATAATTTCATACCTAAAATGTACAAAGCCGAAAGGTACTTCTAGATTACACATGACTAGTCTGAGTTAATATCAAGGAGTATGTGCAAGAAGTATTTTTAAAGATGGGACAAAAATCTATAATAATTCAGTAAATTATGTAATTTGCAATCTACATAAACAGAAATTTTTAATACTTTAAATGTTTAAGGCACTCTTTAAGCAATTAAAACTGCACAAGAAATATATTGCCAGTATTTCAGGGTTTTGACATTTTAGAACTTCCTTTTATGCATTTTTAAGACACTGAGTACTCCTTTACTTATTCACTTCCCCTTAGCATGTTTTTAAGCAATGAGCTTTGGTAACTAAACATACCAACTTCCTCTGTAGACAGTATCTAAAATGTCCAAAGTACATCAAAATGTACACATGTAAGCTCATAATATTTTGGATTTCAGTTTATGCTTTACCTCCTAGAGAAAAGCTATTTCTAAAAAGACAATATATTACTTGGAAAGCCTTGCAAATCCATAAAACCAAAACTTTTACTATTCACTTCTCTATTCTTCTGTTGATGGGTTAACACAAACACTTGGAAACCAACCTGAACTGTAGGAATGCCCAAGTAGAAAAACCTAGGTCCAGGCAAGAGACAATCTTTGGAAAACTACTACAAAAATCAATATAGGATTTCACCCTATAGGCCTCCCTGGCTTGAGATGTTTGTATCTTTTGATACACAACAGAATTCTGTATGCCACTAGATTTGAAATTTTGAGGTTAGTCAACTTAGAACTTCGCCGCCTGTAGTACATAAAATTATCTGCTACAATGTCCTACCTGTCAATGGCTACTTCAGCTTCAACCACAACAACACACTAGCACACAATAGATACGAACTTATAGTAAACTGCTGCAAACTTGATTGCAGAAAATACGACTCCAATAACAGAGTGGTCAATGCCTGGAATGCACTACCTGACACTGTGGTTATCTTCCCCAAACCCTTAACTTTAGACTGTCTACTGTCGACTTCACCCCATTCCTAAGAGGTCTTTAAGGGGTGTGCATAAGCCCACCAGCGTCCCTACCGTCCCTGTCCTAATATTCCCTTGTATTTGTATTCATTTCATGTATTCATAATCATGTTTATACTATATCTGTTATCCAATTCATGCTTGATTAAATAAATAATAAATAAATAAATATTGTGATATAAGTTTTATCACAGTAACGGGACCGCTGCATTTCTGGTCCGATTTTTATAATGGAAAAAGAACACGACTGAGGAAAGCAGTTAATCAAAATACACCGAGGTAGTAACCCAAAATTGTAGTCTAGGGATTGTTTCAGGTGGAACTTAAACCTAGAGAAAATAGTTGGATTAAACGCAGACTCAAGAGAGGGGCAAACAGCTGCAAAACGCAAACCCGACTAAGCCAATAGGAAACGAGCCGGGCACCCCAGTTTGAGACAAAGAATTAGAGAAAGACGCCTGTCCTTGAGCACAAGGTGCAGGCGAAGCCGGACCAGCGAAAGGCAGCGGAGAAGGGTCAGGGCTTCACCAGCGGAGAAGACCAAAAGAGCCGGGCTCAAAGGCGAGAAAACGCGCAGTCTGCGCGCAGCCTCCCGCCCCCTCCCCCGGCTTTGCTCTATCCCCGAGGAGTCTTCCCCCATCCTCATTGCGCGGTCACGCCCTTTTCTCTACCCCCCCCCCCCAATGTCCGGCTTCTCACCGGCGCGGGTGGCGCAACTGCACGGTCTCCATGGCCGCAGGAGCAGCGGCGGCCGGTTGGCAGAGCCGGGAGTGGTGCGGAGAATCAAAAGAGAGGCGGCAGTCACCGGCGCTCCATCCCGCCCTGCTTTCCCGCAGCTCTTCTTAACTCGCTCCGACTCGAGGAGCAGCCCCGCCTCCCCCAAACAAGCGGCTTGCACTTCCGCCTCGGAAGCAGCCTATCAAGGCGATGCCCGCCGGCCTCTGCAAAAAAAAAAAAAAAAAAAAAAAAAAAAAAACCCGAAGCCAAATACGGACCCCGCCCACCCGGCAGCTGGAACTGACGGGCGACGGCGCGCGAGAAGGAGGTGGGCGGGCGGGGGGGGAAGAGATGAAATTCACAGCCCGACCCACGTGGTTCGCGCCAATTCTCTCCTGGCTTTGGAGGGCGTGGCTACGGGAGGTGGGGGCATCCCTCTTTTTAGTCCTCATTTATTCACGAGGGAGGGCGTGGTGGCCACGCGCTTTCCCGAAGTTTGAGTGAGATGTGGCAAACGCGTTAACTTTGGAAGTGTTGGATCCACATATTGCATGAAAATATTAAAAACAATATATTGATTATTTCCCAATTGCTTATTTGTGCCCTATGACTATCATTAAGTTATGATTCTTGACGAATGTATCTTGTCTTTTTATGTACACAGAGCATATGCACCAAAGACAAATTCCAAGTGTGTCCAATCACACTTGGCAAATAAAGAATTCTATTCTATTCTAAAAGATTTGTTTTCAATCACCTTGGCGGAATTCATTCCTTTCGCTGATTTATATCTTTATGACCTGTTAGGGCCAGGAAGTATCAATAGCATCACAAAACTAAGTAAAACAGTTTTTAAAAAAAAGTCCTGAAATATCCTGAAACTCTCGTCTTCTAAGATTTTAGGCAGGAAGTTTAAAAAAAGGTGGAGGGGGGAGTACATCAACCCCTAAGATTTTAACAATTTTTGAAAATATATNTGCCTAGGCAAGGGGTTAGACTAGAAGACCTCCAAGGTCCCTTCCAACTCTGCTATTGTATTTATAAAGTTCAAAACAACCTAATGAGGCGAGACTACATAGATCAATATGGCCAAGTTAATAAAACATTTGTATTTAGAATACAAATACAAATGTATGCAAATACAATAACTAAAAGCTTCAGTTGTTCAGAAAGAATAGAAGCAATAGAAATGGATGACATGTTTAACTCTTTATTAAAAAAATATCCACATCTGCCCTGATATCCAGAGTAGTGATTTAGACTCTGCTGTTGAGAGCGTCTCTTATCAAAATAAACAGGCCCTACTGGTGTCCACTATTATGATTGGAAATTCCTGACAACTTTCTCCTTCAGAAGGAAGAGACAGAAGAAGAGAACATGCTAAACAGGTCTTGAACTTAACTAACACAAAATATTTGGTAGATGAAATGAAAGCAATGAAAACTTTGAGGAAAGTTACATGATAGTATATAGTTTCTGATATTAAGAGAAAGTAAAGATCAATATAACTGAGTATTACCTTGAACTTCAGATTTAATAAATTCAGAACTATGAAAAGTGGATCTCTGAAAGGTGCTCAAAATGGATGGAAGAAGAAATAAAACACTAAAAGCACAATAATGACTAATTCAAGCAAGATAAAGGAAAACAGCAGAAGCACTTTAGATGGCAGTCCAAACAGTTTAGCAAAAATTAAACAAGGAAGGAACATACAGAATTAGAACTGAGGGACAGGATGCAGAATAATAGCATTACAGGTAGCCAAAATTGTAGGTGATATAAAGAAAGGTCAAGCTCAAAATGCTTGTCAGTAAAGGGTGCTAAGAATGACAAGAAGGATGTTATGGAGATTCTTGGTTATTCAGGTGACGGTTGTCCCAAATGTGCTTTTTCTTATTTTTATTTTTCCTTGAAGAGATTTCACTTCTCATTCAAGCTTCTTCACTTCTGACTAAATGCTGGAGAAGCTAAACATCTTCAGGAGCTGAAGAAGCTTCAAGGAAAAACAAAGAAAGTCCAGTTGCCTCTTGGAAAAGCAATTTTGAAATGACAAAAAGGGCTTCTTCAGGTATGGTTAAAAAGAAAATAAAAAAACATTTATTGACCGTTTGGTGAAAATGAGAAAATCCTAACTGTTAATGAAGAAAAAGAAAAACTACATAGTTCCTACTTTGAGTTAGTTCTCTGAGAAATATTAGAGAATGGGAGATGGAGTCAGCCGAATTCTGTCCAACTACAGAAAGGCAAAATGGAATTCTGAATACTTTCGACCAGGGGTCCCCAACCCCTGGTCCTTGGACCGGCACCAATCTGTGGCATGCCAGCAACCGGGCCGTGAAACAAGCAAAGCCCAATATGTAGTTTGCAGGCAGTATGTGAAACCACGCCCCCTCCAGTCTGCGGAAAAACCTTTCTCCACAGAACTGGTCCCTGGTGCTCAAAAGGTTGGGGGCAACAGCTTCTGATTATTTCAATTGAAATTTTTAACCTGAAACATTCTACAGAAGATTATAGAGTTTGATCTATAGCATCTAAAAACAGTACTGTGGTTTGCCCAAAACAAATCTCACCAGAGTAAACTTATCTAGTAATTTAATTAGTAGGTTATGAAATGCTAGACATAGCTTAATTTCGTATTTAATGAGAACAAAATCACTAGAGAAATAGGATGAAAATAACAGAATAAACTTTAAGAAAGAAGAATGCAAAGTTCTCAAATTATGAAATAAATTGAAGGTACAGATATTGGTCCTCTGGGTAACACTAGACCTCATGAGGTCTAGTGGAATAGTACATCACCATATAACTATAATCCAACAGAGTGACATAGCTGCCAAAAAAACAAAAGCAATTTTAAGCTAAATCAACAGCTATCTGGTTTATAAATCACAGGAAGCAACAGCTCCACATAGGCTGTATTCCTTTTAAGTATTGTATGTTGTCCTTGCCCCTACATTTTAAGAAAAATCAGAGGGAGAAAAAGAAAATGGGACATTTGATCAGAAGACACTATTGGAACTGTGTTCAGCTCTGAGAGGAGAAAAGTTATGACATATTCCCATATGATAACATTTCTAAAATGAGAAATAAGAGACTTCCCACAGGTGAATGAAAATACTGAGTGCTGATACTTACCTATCACATTGTTGCATTATTGATATCTCCTTAATAATCTCCTGCAAATCAGATTCAACAGGAACTTGCTTAATTGCAACAACTTGGCCAGTTTCTTTATGGATAGCTTTGAATACGCTGCCATAGGATCTATAACAAGAAACCCAAACTTGAAACTCAGAAAGAGCAATAAAAGAAGCTTGTTCATTGTGATGTACCACTAGTTGCACCACTACCCCATGGTTACATTCGTACCTTATTATCATCATTGATTGAAACTTCATTCTAATTTTCCCCTTCAAATAAACTGATAAATGTAAACGTTCAAAAAATTTTGCTACACACAAATATGTAAGTTTGGATTATTTCCCTCAATAAATCAAGGGATTCTTTCCTTAATAAATTAATGAAAATCAATGTTCTGACTCATTTAATTGGGTTTTTTAATTTAATTTTAGAACTTATGTAGGGAACAGATCATATCATAGATCATATATGCAGAAATATTGAAAATGGTTCACCAACCTTTAAGTACCACTGTATATAAGAAACATTACTGGAATAAGCTGTTTTAATACTCCTAATGTGGAAAAAAATATATTTGGAGGAGAAACATAACTTTCTTTTTCTCAGAAGCTGATTTTTTTAGATTTTAGAAGCTAAAAACTAGACTAGCATAAATATTCATCACTAATCAATGTTTTTATTTAGTGGGATACAAGTTATGCACCAGTGACATTATTTAACTTTAAACGTGCCAAAGATTAATCAACTTGTTTCATTACTAGAAATGACCTGTGGAGTATATTTTGCGTGATTAATCTTGCTTTTGGAAAGAGTGCGATGTAAATCACGCATGGCACTGCTGGATATAAGAGAAACATTTCTAAATATTTACAGTGTTCTCTCATTCTCTTAACTCAGACCGAGAAAGTGAGGCTTTGCACACAGCACGACTTCCTCAATTGCTAGAAATGGACAACCTGCAGACTCCCTTCGGAACCCCTCTAACCACCGCAGTTTCCTACTGCCTTGAGGCAGGAAACTTGCAGAACCTAAAATAGGCTAAACAAACAAAACACCAGAAAATTGGGGGGGGGGGAGAGAAGCAAACAAAAAACTATAAAATTTTAAGAATTCATTATAAGTGCTACTAACAACTTGATTCAGGTTAAAAGGTTTACTTTGTTTTGGAAAAATATTTTATTTTCTGATTTATGTCTGTGCACTTTCAACCACTTTTGGCAATATGGAATATCTGACATTACAGGAGTAGCAATGGAATGATCTTTAGGTCACACATTACAAAAATGAAGATAGTAACAAACACTCTGCGTAGAAATGACAAAACCATTTCATAGACCTCACTAACACTACTCTTAGGTTTTCCCCCCCTTCCCCCCAGCCATGGTGGAAAAATCTTAATGGTTTCCTGGCCTGTTTAGAAAAATAGTCTTCAGAATAATAGTGATGGAATCTTTACAGAATTCTGCATGCATACAAGCAGTCTTGAGTTACAATGGCCACTGGTAGCAGAATTTCTGTCACTAAGCAGTTGTAAAGCATGACATCATATGACTAGATCTCTTAGAAAGGCAATCACTGTAGTCCCCATTGTTATTCTTAAACAAGGATTGGGGGTAGTTAAGCAAAGTCCTCCTTGAAACTACCTGCTGGATTCTAACAACTAATGTCAGTGTGGAAGCCAACAGGAAATTGCAAGTCTCGGGCAGATTATAAGCAGGCCAGCAGACAGCTACTGCCAAATGGGAAGTGGAGTGAGGGGAAAGCAGGGCTCGGGGTGGCTGCTACTGTGGCACACTACTGAACAGTATGCATGAGAATATATGGCATGAGTGCAGCAAGGCTTGGAGGGTGCAAAGATTGCCAGGGAGGTGCAGTGTGTGATGTTGGGTTGGCCACACCTCCCAGCCATGCCCCCGAGGTCAAACACAACCCTGATGTGGCCCACATTGAGATCGAGTTTGACACCCCTGCTTTACAAGCTTAGAGGGCTAGTTAAAATGATCCAGCCCAGTTCTTCTTTTGCAATGGGGAGCTCCCCTGCAGGCTAGTGCACCCAGGTGGAGGAGCTGCTCCAGGATAACCAAGGGGCCAGTCCTGTGACTACTACAGCTCTGAAATATGGGACCAACTTTTCCACTAATGTCAGGAGGCCACCATCAGTCTGCCCGTCTTTGTTTTCCTTCAGTCAGCTTGACCAAGCTTCTTGAGAGAAGAGGTTTCCGGGTTGTGTACCTGGACCAGGCGCTTTCTCTTGGGCCTCCCACCTGGACGCCTAACAGCAGTAGACAGGTAGGCCTGAAAGGAGGCTGACCCTCCGCCCCCCCCCAGTGGTCCATGGGATTTAAAATTATGGATTTGGTGGTCCCCGAGGTCCAAAAGGTTGGAGACCCCTGTCCTAGTCTACAAGTTACTCTATGGCTGACTTTCTCTACTGCAGTCTAATAAAACAATGTTTTGACCTGAAATAAGTAATCTGTTTTATTTACAGTCTTCAGAGTGACTTCTGTTTCAAATAGTTTTGTTTAACTGCACATATGTATCAGGAAATGATATCAATCCTATATGTACAGCTATTATCTATGGTAGCATTATAAGGATAATTTATGTGGTTTACTTACCCTTCTCCAAGTTTTTCCAACACATCAAACACTTCTTCAGGCTGTTTTGTCAAACTATCTTCATCTAATTTTCTTAGCTGCCTGGAATCAAATAATTAGATATGTTATTGGATTTTGATGGACGCACCTTCAATATCAACTTAATTCCAGCAGTCAATATAGTTTATTAACAAATTTTTCTACTAATAGTGAGTATAATCCAGACATATGCAACACTGTGTGTTTAAAGGACAGACAGAAGAGAGAGTCTCAAAGTTCTAAGGCAGCCTGACATTTGCATCAACTACTTTACTTAATCCTCCAGGGAAAGATTGAAGGCAAATGAGGTTCAGGCAGAAGAACGAACATGATGGCTTCAAAACCTAAGGGACTGGTTTGGACAAAACACAGAACCACTTTTTTGTGCAGCTGTTGATAAAAATAGGATCACCAACATGATCACCAACCAATGTCCGATGATGGATATGGCACAAGAAGAAGAAAAAGAATATCTCTTGTACTACAGTGTATTACAATTCATAAAATATTTTTCACCCAAAATGCACTTATTGGTAATGAAATGTCTTCTATACTTTCATGAAAACTAGGTATTCATTTCCTGAATGCAACAATATAAAAAAAAAAAATCAGCAGCATATGCAAAACAGATAATGATTTTAAAAGAGGAAATATTACTAAGATTCTGCCCAGGAAATGATGAAACATGAAAACAAGTCTTAATGATAAAGCTTTGAGATTACAGAATATAATCTGGTTTAGAATAGAAAATCACAAATACATTATCCTTTCCATTTTACAATTTGGGTAACTGTTAGCTCACAAACTGTTCCAGCTATGCATTTTTAAATAAGCCATAATTGACTATTTTCATATATCATAGTGTGAATTCAAATGTATTAACCATGCTCATATACTATAAACAACCAGTTAATTGATTTCTAAATGTTATCATAACATATTTAGCAACTACATATATTAGGATTTTTTAAACTTTGTAATTTTATTTATTTGGTAAGTTTATATAGGTAGTCTTTGTTTAGCACCACAATTGGGACCAGGGCTAAATAGGAAATAACAATAACTGGTGCTTTCTGAATCAAAATTGACAACACTAATCATACCTTTCACTTTCGTTTGCCTCCTAAGTACTTCCCTACCTTTGGAATGTATACCCTAGTGCTGGGATAATTAACAAGAAGGGAATTAATGTTTTATTTAGACTCATTGTAGAGAAAGATTATAAGATAATAACCAATTTCGTTGTATATATGAAGTACAATTATAATAAAGGCTATACCAGTGATGAACGTTTTTCTGCTTGGATACCAAAAGGGTGCGCATGATAACATACGTGCGTGCCCACACCCATAATGCAATGCCCTTCCCCCGAAGCATGCGTGCACAACCACCCACGCTCCCTTCCCCATGCAGGCCTCACTGAAGCCTCCGGACTTCGGGTAGGCCTGTTGGGACCTTTTTCACCAGCGACTCTGGGGGCTTTCCTGAAGTCTGGGGAGGGTGAAAACGGCCTCCCCTGCCCTCCAGAAGGCCAAAAATCAGCTGGCCAGCGCACGCATGCACGCTGGAACTTACATAGGGCAATGCCTCATGTGCCCTCAGATATGGCTATGCCTGCCACCTGTGGCACTTGCGCCATAGGTTCGCCATCACGGGCTATACTATACTGTAAGAGAGTAAGCAGGCACACAAAGGGGAAATACCCATGAAAAGCAATGTACTAGCATCAGCAGGTGGGAGCATACAATGAAAATATTACCCTGTATATTCTCTGTTGCATGCCTATTTACTCTCTTATACCTTTCTCTCCAATCTTTCCACTCTGTAGGAGAAGGGGGACAAGCAATTTCTCCTGAGTCTGATCCATTCCCACTCCTTCAAAAGGGGAGAGATTGGAGGTAAACAGCATATTGCTTTTGACATGTATTTTCCACTGTGTACCTGTTTATTCTCTTGTAATGTTTTCCTCTTCAATCTCTCTGGTCTGCAAGGGAGCGGGGAGGAAAACAACAGCTCAGGCACAAAATGCCTACTAATGGCGATGACATAACTGTGACTATCATATGACTGAAGGACAGCATGGTTGTAACTTTGAACAGACACTGAACTAGGCAGTCAGTAAGTGGGGGTTACCTGTGCAGCTGCCCATTTCACAAACATGACTCTGGATGGTCATCATCTACAATTTTAGAACATACACTCTTTGGGTATTACTTCATTGAGTAATTGAAATATGACCAGTCAACTCACATATCAGAGATTAGATATTTTAACAGAAAAACATTAACCCAATTTTAAAGTCACTCGTGCCAATAAGATCATTGACTGAGTTCGGCGGATATAGAAATTGAATAAAGTTGCTGAAAACATGATTACAAAATGTCACAATGAACCAGGATATTGTATGTAGGTAATACAATTTAATGTATACAGCTATAGACTAATAATGAAATATTTATCAAAATAAGAGAAATGCTACAAAGCAAATAATACATCAAGTAAAATCCCAAACCTAAAAGGTTTAAAAAATAATTGGTAATAAAAGGGNTTTTTTATTTTTTAAAGCCATGCCGCTGTGCCCGCCATAGAGCAGGACGCGTCCCACTCTATGGCAGAAAGCTGCACTGGGACTTTAAAGCCATGCCACCGCGTCCGCCATAGAGCCCCGCTGAAGCCCCGCCGAAGCCCGGTGCTGCCAGACATAGGGCGGCAGACAATATCAGTTTTGGTTGTTGTGGGCTGCGTTCCAACAGGAAAAATTGTTCAGTGCTGCATTGCATGTGGGAATGGGTACAGCCACCTAAACTCTTATGTCACACTCTTTTTTCCCCACTCTATTTTGCCGACATAATCTTCCCTTTCATTTTCTTTCTACTTATTCAAAAATCTGTCTAGGGAAGGGACAATATGGTTTTGCTGTAACTTGGACTGTAGCGTTTGTTTAAAAAAAATTAAATTAGGTAACGCTTGCAAGCAATGAAGACAAAGGCTCCAGTTTTAACTTTTGATGTGGAATAAGACTTTCTCTGCTCAATTTTTCAAAATTGCAAGGAAGCCCTGCAGGGTAATTATTAAGAACATAACATGACCCATGATCTAAGGCATGGTTCGGGAAGCTATTTTTAGCTTGTGGGGTTCACTATTTGTGTGTTCGTGTGTAGAATGAATAGAGTTGAACTTTTCAACTTTTAAAGAATATGTCTTTGCATGTTGTAGGGGTTTTCTTTCTTAACATCTCCCACATCCCCCCTCGCCCCAAAACATATTGGGATTGAAGATTTTATAAAAGCTCAATGGATACCATAGGTCTCTGCCAAGCTTAAGATAGTGGTAGCCATGGCCTGTGAATGAGCATAAAGGAAGACAGATGGAAAGGGCTGGCTTTTGCATAGCCATTCTCAACAAATAGCTAAATCGTTCATGACATTAGTTTGGCTGTATACAGTTTTGCTCTAAAGATATGGGGATATTTTGTTGTCTGAATTCAAGGAGGCTAACCCTAACCCTAAGTCGATTTACATCCCAAATGGGATTTTTCCATGTATTTTACCAGGAAGTGTAGATAAGGCTGATTCAAAAAGTCAGTGCCCTCCTAAACATACCCATGTACTCCGGATTTGTTGTCAATCTCCATTTTGCTGCCCAAATTCAAGGAGACCTAACCCTAAGTGGATTTATACCTCAATGGGATTTTTCCATGTGGAATTCTTACCTGTTCCATACAACATGGCCAGCATGATGGATGAGATCCAAGCTGTGTCGCTGTATCCCACATGGAAATCATGCATCAGGTCCTTGAAATAAATGCTCACTGCCTTGGGAAACCCATAAGAAAAGCCAGTGATGACGAAGCAGCCCAGTAATATGATCCAGCCCCAGCCACCATCAGGAGGCTTTGCTTTCTCAGGCAGCTGCCCTTCCTCCACATCATCTCTGCTCATGGCCCAAAGGAGGAGAAGAAGCCTGAAAGCAAGTGGAGCACAGGTTGTAGCAAAGACAGAAGGACAAGAATGGTCACAGGGGCAGCCTGCAAAGGCGGCCAACGGGCCACCCGTTGCTTTGGGTATCCGCCTCCTTTTTTTGTCCATGTGTATCATTTTCTTGCACCTTAAATTTAGAACAGTATTTTCCAACCTGGTGCTCACCAGAGAGGTTGGGTATATTAGCAATATTAACTGATAATATAGTAAAATCAGAGGACAGACAAAACATTTTCATTTTTAAATTTTGCTTTTTAAAACCAGATTTTGGGAATAAAATGAATCAGTCTTTACAAATGTCTTCCTTGGGCAGTAAAATTCATACTCATCTTTGGTCATCTCAGAGGTCCAGACCAGGGGGGGAAATCAACTTACCTTCGCTACCAGTTCGCAAATGTGAGCGCACATGCCACTTCCGCACATGTGCAGGGCCTTCCGCACATGCGCAGTTTAAAAAATGGGGCATGATGACATCTGTGTGAGTGGGCGGAGCCTGCTACTGAGCACACCTGCAAAGGTAAGTAGAACCAGGGGGGCAAATCCGCTGTGCCACGCAATTTAGATTAACTAGAAAGCAAGAAATCCGACTATTTTAGCTAATATAAATTGTGCATCACAGCTGATCGTTGGAAATACTGTTTCGTCTGAATTTACTACCAGTTCAGGTGAACCGATCCGAACCGGTCGCATTTTATCCCTTGTCCAAACTAAAAATTCAATCCTGGCTAATGTTAATAATCATGGATGGCAAGGACTACTGAGCTAATGATAGCCCCCAAACAGTGTTCTAGACATATCTTTCCATGCTATAGCACGTGATAATTGAAGTGACCTTACCTGTAAAATGTCAAGTAAATGGAAGAGAGCAACCTCCAAGCTTTCTCTGCCACTGTCACCAATGTAACAGCATGCCCAGTTAATGGGTTTGAAGGCCAAGGTATTTACCTTAATCCTTTTATTATTCATGCTCTGGTTATCAATATGAAGCTCCAAAAGACTCCAGCTGAGGGGCTTTATATGTGCACCATTGCCTCAAAACAAACCTCTTGGAGGTTTCAGAACCTTTGTTTCAGATTACCTGTCTCTATTTAGGCATGAAGACTAACAAGTGGTTCAGTGGACTGTATGACTCACAGAATGTTGACTTTGTGTCAAGCTTCAAGCACTAAGTACAGAGGCTTAAAAGTGATTTTAGGTGAGGGTGATTTCTCCATCTGATCGATCCCCTTGGTCAACTGAACTACACTGCTTGTTTTCTGCTAATCACTTGGCTTACAAGAAAACCCCTACAAGAGTCACAGATTACTCACAGATACGCACAAGTATAACCCAATGTGGTCAATGTATTCCATATCTTAGAAATAAGGAAACCACTGGGAAAATTAACCCTCTGCATCTAATTATGTTATCATCACAAACCTTGCTGGCCACTATCAAGATTATTGTACAGGTAGTCCTTGACTTAACAACCATTTAATTAGTGATTGTTCAAAGTTACAATGGCACTGGAAAAAAATGATTTATCTTTTTTACACTCATGACTGTTGCAACATCACCGTGGTCAAAATTTGGATGCTTGGCAACTGGCATGTATTTATGATGGTTGCAGCATCCCTGAGTCATGTTGTTGGAAGAAACGTCCATCTGGTTCAGTTCCAAGCCAAGAGAAAGACACTGGAAACATGGAGGATGGTTGGAAAGATGGTTTATTGGTGGAGCAAAACCAGATGGGTTTAAGGTCCTGGGCAGCTGACCACATGGAGTTGAGAGTGGGGGATTATTTATACCTTCTCTTGGGCTTTGCACTTGAACTTCCTGTTCCTGTGCAAGAACATGTATTCTATTGGCTGTTGTAGAGGTCATAGCTGGGTTTCTGAGCTCCCAGGTTTGGTTGAGGTTTGGACTCTGATGCAATGTCCCTAGAAAATTGTGCAATGTAGTGAGCTCTGCTGCTAGTGGGTTAATCCTATTATGTCCTGGACAGACATGTCTTAATCCCATCATCCTGAAGCAGAGTGGGGTTCCTACCGTTTCAGACTGGTTCGGCCAAGTAAGTAGTAACTCGGCTGGCCATGCCCCCAAACTGGTTCTATTGGTGGCGCCCTAGGCACCGCCATCTTGTGTTTTACTTCTCCGCATGCACAGAAGCAACTTTTTTACTACTGTGCATGCATCACGCAAGCAAGCACCCGCCCAAAGCATATCCCTGAGTGAACCGGCAATTATAGAAGCCGGAATCCTCCCCTGTCCTGGAGCTGAAGGTTTTTTTGTAGGTAGGATGGCCCAGTCTTTCCTAATGGGCAAAAAATATCATCTGGGGGTTATTAAGAAAGGTGGGGGCTGCTTTTCAAGAGGATGTTTCTCCATTTCTCATGCAGGAAAATGTTATATTCTGCCTTTTTAATATTTTTCAAAATATTTCATTCTTCTAGGAGAGGGGAGGTGTCTTCCTTCAATCTCATTTCCTTGTGTGACTTTCTGACAAGCAAAGTCAATGGGGAAGCCAGAGTCACTTAATAACCATGTTACTAACTTAACAACTGCAATGATTCACTTAACAACCATGACAAAAAAGGTCGCAAAATGCAGGAAAACTCACTTAACTGTCTTGCTTAGCAACATAAATTTTTGACTCAACTGTGGTCATAAGTTGAGGATTACCCATAGAACAAGAAGCCCTCAGTTACCTAATAGTTCTGCTGTTGGCTGTTGTTTTGCCTGCTTGCTTATTTTTTCCTTTCTTTTTTTTCTTTTTTTTTCTTTTTCCTGAACTGTTTAAATAAAGCCCCACAGACTGCAAAAGCACACATAAAAATCAAATTAGTAATGCTAGCCAGAGTAAAGATAGAAGCTTAAACAGTGATAGCTTCTCTCGCATGGAAATCGGTTTTGGGTAACGTTCATTGCTCCATTAATAGCTATTTTAAACAGCCTTTGGGGATTATTTTTTTTTCCACATTTGCTGTTCAGATCTTCAAACCTGATTCCCAGTTTGAAGTATTAAGTTCAGAGGTGGGTTCCTACCAGTTTGCACCTATTCAGTAGAATCGGTTCGTCAAATCTACCAAACCGGTTAGAAGAGGTTCCACCAGTGGACCNCTAAGTGGAGTCCAAGGCATTTTTTTTTCCAAAGAAAGTTTTCCTGCAGACTATTGACTGCTCATTCTGAGTAGGGCTTTTCAGCTCCACCTCCTCTGCTCATCTAAAAATATCCCTCCAATTAATGATGCATAAGATTTGAATATTTTCTGGAGGAGATTGAGAAGGAGAAGGTGATATATTGAACTGTCCGTTGTGCTGAAATGATTTCTGTTGAATCCTGGAAGAGGACACTGTAATACTCATTGAAATAGGACAGCAGAGATACCAAAGTTCCTTAGATGCCCTCTGAAGATGCCCCACAAATGTACCCACTCACTGAATTAACCAACCTTTTGGTGACATTGAACGATCCATAAATTAGCCGGATGTCCTGCACAACAAACCAAGTTGCAAAAAAAACTACCCTCAGTTGAAACAAACCATAGCATAGCATGTGATTGGTCATTGATCTGGTTAAACCCATTGTTCTGAGTAGAAGTGACTGTGGTTTCTCTTTATTTCTCATATTAACAATGGTTTCTATCATCCAGGGGTGTCAAACTCAAGGCCCGCAGGCCGGATCCAGCCCAAGAGGTGCTGAAATTTGGCCTGCGGGGCTGGGCTGGAAATATCAGAGGATTGGCCTTCGGTGCCTCTGCTGGCCAAAATGGGCCCCTGCGTGGCCCATTTTCAATCTCCCCAACCTCCAGCAGCACTCTGCCAGCCAAAAATGGGCCGTGTGGAGGCCTTTGCTGCAGGAGGCCATCCAGGCCAAAAACGGAGTGGGGGGGGAGCCACCACATGTTCCATTTTGACCAGTGGGGTGCTGCAGGAGGCAACCATCCCATCTTCCTTCCTCCCCACCACCTTACCTCCACTGGCCCACAAAGGAGAACTACAATGCTGATCCGGCTCTCGAAGAAATCCAGTTTGGCAGCACTGCTATAATCAAAGTTGAGTTCCAGAGATCTTCCTAAGGCAGCGTGACTCCAGCTATACTTACCAAGCACTGTCAGTTGCACTCTATGGGAAATTATGCCAGTGCTTTTTTCTGTGGGCCCAACCTGGCATTCATAGAAGGCATCGTCTTCCAATTGGCTCTTTATGACTTGCAGGTTGTATATCCCTAAAGCAACAAGACGCAAGCAAAAAGATAAAAGATAGCTGCATTTGGTTCATATTAATTCTATTCATGAGTTACACCCTAGCCTAACTCTGCCCACATAACCTTGGGGCAGATTCCTCTCCAATCACAACGGGGCATCTTACTTCTAACCCATCCTCCTGTGAAGTAAGTGAGGCAAAACGTATCTAGAACGGGAGGTATGCGGCCTAAGAACATTAGTCGTGTCTCCGAAATAATGGATTGCAATACTGGGACTCATTTGCTCAGTTCAAAAGCAAATCGGCCAATTATTTTCCCGTGTTCATAACTTCTGAAGTAAAGCTTAGGAAAGTCTTCCCAACCTTTTCTCACTTCCCCCATCTGTCTTCTTTGAAATTCTTTTTCACCAAAGTAATGGGAAACTGGGCAAAGATTGCTTTACAAGGGCTTTCAAGTTGAGGCTCTGTGCAGCAGAGGTGGGTTCCTACCAGTTCGCACCTATTCGGTAGAACTGGTTCGTCAAATCTACTGAACCGGTTAGAAAAGGTTCCACTAGTTGACCCGGAAAGCAGGCCGCACCTACAGAAGAGGTTCCAAAAATTTTTGACACCTACCACTGGTCCTTGGATATGATTATTCTACACTATCATGCTCATATTTATAAAACTCAGTGCCTCTGTGAAAGGTAAGGATGATTACTGTGTTTGTGGTGCAATCAGAACATTGCGTGTGTTGAAGTTGTTTTAATGCAAAT